GAGGTGATGCCGAGGTGATGCCGAGGTGATGCCGAGGTGAGGCCGAGGTGATGCCGAAGTGATGCCGAGGTGATGCCGAGGTGATGCCGAGAGCCGAAATGTCGCCGAGCTGCCTCTGCCACCTGCGCGAAGAGCGGCGCCATCACCGCGGCAAACTCTCGCGCGTCGACCATCTCCAACACCTCCTCGAGCTCGTTCAGCAGCAGCACCTTCCAGTCCCGCGCAGGGTGAGCCAGTCCCGCCCCCCCCGCCCCCGCCCCTCCCCCGGGCCAGTCTCTCCCCTCTTTGTAACAGGGGCGGCTGTGCTAGCCCTCTGGCGCTTCGCCTCCTTCGGCGAGTGCGTGCACGGCCAGAACTTGAGGATCGCCTCGAGGACCGGCTTGGCGAGCTTCGGGTCCTACAGCAGCGTGACGGCGGCCGTCGAGAGGCGCGGCATGCGAGGCGGCGCGTGGCGCGCGGCGGCGGCTCCTTCTCAACAAACTGCGAGACGCAATACGAGAGCTGCTGGTGGTACATGCCGATGAAGCGCACCTTGACGAATAATTCACCAATGAATTACTACGAGAGCTGCTGGTGGTACATGCCGATGAAGCGCACCTTGACGAATAATTCACCAATGAATTACTACGAGAGCTGCTGGTGGTACATGCCGATGAAGCGCACCTTGACGAATAATTCACCAATGAATTACTACGAGAGCTGCTGGTGGTACATGCCGATGAAGCGCACCTTGACGAATAATTCACCAATGAATTACTACGAGAGCTGCTGGTGGTACATGCCGATGAAGCGCACCTTGACGAATAATTCACCAATGAATTACTACGAGAGCTGCTGTGGTGGTACATGCCGGTGAAGCGCACCTTGTGGAGCGGGAGCAGCGCGCGGTGCAGGAAGAGCATGTGTTCCTCCTTGAGCGGCAGCGCGAAGCCGTTGATGATCGAGCCCAGGATCTCGAGAAGCTCGGCGATGCCGTTGTGCCGCTCCGTCTCGTACACGAATGTGTACAAGATGTTGTTGATGGCCTTGCGGATGAACGCGCCGGTAGGCATGAACTTGCCCGTAGATGCGGGGCAGGATCCGTCTTGAGGTAGTCTCCGCTCGCCCGGTCCCTGGTTGCGCGTGTGTGTGGACGGGCCTGAAAAAGTGAAAAGCAGCCCTCCTCTTCAAGTGTCGGGCCGTGAAGCCCGGGGTGGCGCGTTTTTCCGGCTTGTTTGGGGCCGTCAAACTTTCCCTCGGAAGTCCCA